GCTTATGGTAATATATTATTTCCATTCATTTTCCAACACTAATATAAGAAACCCTTACAATGATGTTTTTAGATAAAATATATTTCTATTTTTATCGTTTAACAAGAGGAGCAAAACCAATCCATCTCCTGAAAATTTTCAACACTTGGTTAAAAACTGCTTTGCAATGCTCCCACAAGGGTACATGCCTTAGCCTGTCATGACCCCATGACATTGTGTAAAAGAAAGTTAGAACTGACCTTAGAGACAAAGCTTATGCATCCTGCTAACAGTAAAGCAGCAGCAATATTGATGATAAGCTTCAACACTTTGTAGATGAAACTATCATTTGAATTGTCTTCACTCTGGAAAAATAATGATTTTAGAGATGTGAAAAACAATGCATTCAGGAGCTGTGCACCTTTCATAAAAAGGAATCGATTCCTTCACAGCTACTTTTCAAATTCAAACAGGCTAGGTGTTTCTAATCGATCAGTGAGGCAACAAGAGCAATTAGGCATATCTCTTTATTTTTAATTCCCATTATTCCTGTTTTGTTGTTGTTGTAATATAAGTTTGGTCGTGTCTTTAAATTTTGTGTCTAGGTTACTGTCACATGCATTTTTTCACATTCTTTATTTGGGCAAATTTCAAAACTTAAATTTGTATGTATACGTAAGTTTGTAGGGAGTAATCTTACACAGGTATTGTACGATGAAAAATTAAAACCCTCAACAAAGACTTTCAACTGAAAATGACTTTAACCAAATGGCCCAACCTTTCTAGTAAACTTAGAAATATTGAATCAATTAGAACAGGTTATACAACTCACATGGAAAGTCACGAGAATAAGAGATGCAATGGCAAAACTCAGTGCAAGAGAACAAAGAATCATGTCATTCACAAACTGTAAAATACACACTCCAAGAAGAGAACTAATCACCATCAGGTACATAGTGCGAGCCTGAAAAAGAAGTAAAGAACATAAACTTGAAATGACATTTGATATTAGCAGCATGCAACAATCCTTGGTTCATAACAGCAGAGAAAAGCTCCAGGGTAACTGTCGTGGTATTCAAATGCAGAAATGTGTTGTTTTCTACATGACTGTATGTCTGTGATATTTTCTTACTTTAATTTAACAAGCTCAACATTCAATTCAGTTTTTAACGTATGACTGTGATTCAGAAAAAAATTTTAAAAATGTCTTTTAATGAAACTGCATTGCCTAAATCAATTTCTTCTTCTTCTTCCTCTCTTCTTTTTCTTGATTTTATTATTAATTTCATACACAGGTCACTCCATAAAATGTTTCATTTCTCATTGCCTCGATCCCTTCTCATGCAAGTGGTTTAGGTTGGTTAAAGAGAAAAAGGAAAATGAAGAATTGACTGTAGATGCCTGCATTCAGGAAAAGCGTAGTTTCCTTTCTGAAAAACATAGGTTGGTTAAGCAAAAAAAAAAAACAAAAAGAATTCGTAGGGATGATGACAAAATTGGTATTTTTGTGAACTCTGAACTATTACCATGATTTCATATTGAGGGAAGAGAACAGCATTCCTAACCTTATATTTGGGGATAAAGCCAAGGGAATAGGTACCAAAGAATGCCATAGACTCCAAAAGAAGGATGAACTGGGCAAACTGCCACACTAATGTAAAGAAAAATGTTGAAACTGCTATGCCAACCAAACATACTGCCTAGGGAGAAAAATTAAAACAATTAAACTTAGACATGAGAATATTACTGCCAAGTTAAAAAAAAGGAAAAAGAAGAATCTTATGCCCTTGCAAATTAGTCATACTTATAAGCACTTGTCTGGGTATGAAACCTCCCAAATAAATGGCAAACTAATAATTACTCATGTAACAAGTGCTAACTATTAGGTTACATCTATAACAACATTTATTAAGTTGGCAAAATCTGTACAGACATCACACCAACTGATCATGATCCCAGCTTGATTCCACACCAACTGGTTATGATTCCAGATTGTCATCTTCTTACAAGAACACCTCTGTACACGTACCTTGGGCTCTTTTACTCATCCAGATGGTGTTCCCTGGTTGGATTATTTGTTGTATTCTACCCCTTCCCCTCTAACACAAGGGATATGACCAGGACAGGTTTTGAAGAAAAGCAAAATCATCCACATATCAATAATAACATTTTTCAGAACTTTAAAGAGCTGCAAAATACCTGAGCAAGTGAAGAAACATTCCTCTTAAAGTAAACAGTAATAAATGCAAGTTGTGCAAAAATGAATGGAAATCCAAAACTCTCACGCAGTGGAATTGTAAACCACAGTCGTGTAGTTTCATTCCTGAAACACAGCAGAAGATATTCAAGTTTAGCATTTATTAATTTAATACCATGAAGTAAATAAAGGGGTAGTAAAATGTTTGGTCAGGAGTGTTCAAGGTGCAGTCAGGATTTGTGATAATCAATGCCAATAGTGTTTCCTTTCAAGAACATAAAGTCTTTCAATGATAACCTTACTTGTTAAAAATATAGAAACTTGCAGACAGCAGCCCAGCCAGCCAAGAACCACTCAGTAACCATGATGATACAAACAATGACACCATGTACATCCCATGTAAGCCAAAGATCGTATCAATATAAAAGTACACATATTCCACAGATCCCTTCAAGAGAAGACAAAAAGAAAGTACATACAAAATAATCAGGGAATAATAAATAATTAGACACATAATTAAACTGATACAAATTATTATTGTATAATTTAACCCACAAACTAGAGTAAAGTAATTGACAGATTTAAATTACAGTTTATAATTATAATTAGTGTTACTCAACAAGCAATCTACCACAAATTCTGCAACCTGATTGGCTTTGCTACTCACTATCAATTCCCTGACAAATAGTGGGTAAGAGTAGCCTAACAATGTGAGGCTCTAATGCAAAATTAGATAACAACAGGAGCCTGTCTTGCTATTTAGTTTCAAATGACCAGTACATATATACACTATAAATATAATATTACTTGCTCTCAATTTCTAAGCAAGACAGTTGATTCAGGCTTTTCCCTCGTTATCTAATCTGATCTAATTGCAAATTATAAAAAAAATCATAATTATAATTAGTGTAACTCTACAACCAATCTATCACAAATGCTGGAACCTGATTGGCTCTGCTACTTGCAATCAATTCCATGATAAAAAGTGGGTAAATTAAGTAGCCTAAACTAATTGTCAAATTATAAAAAATACAATGATCATAAAATTATAATTTCTCTACAAAAGAGTAGAACATGTACCTGTAATGGTAAAATTCTGTACAGAGCTGCTAAAATAACTTCTTGATAAATATTAAATCTCTCTAAAATATTTATTGTCCTCAGGTGCTCTGTTCTATTGTCATGCATAACATCGTGAATACCTACAAAATTTTAAGACAAGTAGCAAATAAGAATTGTTATGTTCAATCATCTTTTGATGGCTAAACTAGTTCTTCTAGTCTTCATCAAGAAATGGCGTTTGATCATGAACTAAATTAAATATACTTCATTTTACCTCCATTCCAACTGACCAAAATAAGCAAACAATATGAAAAAGTTACAATCTTTATAGTTGGCGATGTGAAAGCCATACTGGACAATACTTTATTATTGTATCCAAATAACAACTCTGCCCATAATTTCAGACCTCTCTGATGATCTTTTAAAGCTTTTATTAAATGGGACTGACCCACTATAGAAAGTATTACTTGTAACTCTTTACCCTTAGGCTAATGAAAGAGTCACTTTCAAATTTGAGAAAAGGAGAACCTTCCTATTTTACATATTTCTAGGAATTTCAAAAATGACTCTGCAAACAGGCTAAAAATAACTATATATTCTCTTGGATTAGTCTCAAAAGCAAGTGTATTAAACTATTGACAGTTCTTGGCTTACCTTGTAATAACGATGGCGCTAGTACTATTTGCTTGTAGAATGAAAAATATAATCCAGACTCTGTTCTGAAGGATATTTCCCTCTCTATTTGCTAAATAAGGGGTAAACCAGGAATATTCATTGTTTAGTGTTCAAAGAGGTTGACAACAAAATATCTGATAAGTGCATTTATTACAGTTATAATGTGGATCAAGCTACTTTAACCCTTTAATAGTTAAGATTGACTAGCATCTAATTTCTCCACACAATGTCACCACTGAATAACTTATTAAGGTCACAAGAATAAAGGAAATGATCACCAATTAGAGAGCTCTTCATCGATGAACAAATTCTCCTTGTGAGCACCTTAGGAAATGTATAGAGAAAGGTATGGAGAATATGCATACTGATGTTAGAGCATAAAGGGCTAACCACAATATAGACATGTGCTCTTTTACTCTGTTCTAGAAAGTTTCCATCTCCCTTTCTCTGCTACAAGTGACAAATACTTCATTTTCCCTTTGGAAATCAATGCAATATAAAGCCAATAGATGATATGGAAATAGTGAAAGATCAAATAGGAGACATTTTAAAAATGCAAAGAGAATTTGTTTAATGATCAAGAGCTTCTTTAGTTGGTGATCATTTCCTTTATTCTTGTGAACTTAATGTTTGAATCAGGGATGACATTGTAAGGAGAAATTAGATGCTAGTCACATGTAAGGGTCAAAGAGTTAAAAGCAGACTTTTAGCCAGCATTTATACCTAAAGGCTGAATAAAAAAGTGCTCTTTGCTTGAAAAATCCCATTTAACCCTTTCTCCCCTAACATCAGTGTTCATATTCTCCATACTATTCACTATACAT